AGTATCCGGCGGATAACCGGATAACCAAAAAACGACCGGATACCCGGCACATCCCTAATAACAAGTTTAAAATTTTTGGGTATAATTGTTAAAGTTTGTTGTTTTTATAATTTTTGTACGAAGTTTGAAATTTGGATTTATTTGGTGCTGGTTATGTAATGCGTGAGACTTTTATAAACAAATTATAAACATTAAATAGACAAAAGAAATCGGTCAAGATATTATACATATCGGCCCGAGATATTATACATATCAAAAATAGAAAAGTTGAAGCTTAACCTCTTTTATTTGCTTTGTTTATTTGTATTGTTTAATATCACTTAATTCTCAAAACTCAAGCAGACCTGTAATTTCCATATAATATACATTTTTTTAGCATAAACTTGCAATTTTTTTCAAACAGGGTTATTTTTGTAATTATTTTTTTTCGTCTTCGGCTTAAAAATACAAAAAAGCATGTAAATTATGTACATCAACTGAAAGGTAAATTAAGTATTTTTATTTAAAGTTTTTTAATCTGTTATCTAGTTTATAAGATATTAATATTTCAGGAAATCAAAAAGTTTAACATTGACCTTTTATATCTTTATTTTTTAATTGTCACACATAATTTTCGCATGGTTAAAATCAGCGTAAAAATTTCTATCGACACACAATTTTTAATTTTTTTTTTATATCTAAACGGTTGGCATTCTGGACTTGTTCACGTGCAAGTGATGCCAACGAATTAGTATGAAGAGGTTTAGGTTTTATTCCTAACATAACCAGAAACTAGAGTGAGCAACATTCTTCATCGCGAAAGAAGCCGATGTTGGGAGCGAGAAAACTGCTTTAGTACAAAACCTTTTGTTACTGAATAATGGGATAGAATCTGCTCAAAAACCACTTTTTCTATTCTATTCTATTATTCTGGCATGACCTGCCGCAACATCAGGTTTTTAGATTTTCTTTATTGTGGTACGTGTCAATGATCTTTTATCAGCACGGACTGCTGTCGATATCACTGCTGACTGCGTGTGAACACTTCTACTCCGCGATGTACGTCCTGTACTGCTGCGTATTTTTATTGGTGTTGTCGAACTGCGCAGCTCCTTGTAAACACACATCAGTTCATCAGCCCCGTCCGGGCAATCAATTTTCTGAAAATTCAATTAACACTACGAATTTAGGTACTTCTACACATTTTCCAATACATTAATCGTTCACCTTATCACAAAGCTCATTGACTGTGATGCATTCGCCGCTCACACAACGCAGCTGATGTGGCGCACAAGCTTTCGTCGGTGCTCGTTGCCCGTTGCCATTATCCACCTTGAAGAGGCTACCTGGTTCAGTCGTAACCGTAACTCGCATTGAATGAGCTGGTTTCAAAGGAGTGGTGGCACTAAAGGGAACTTTAAGTTTGCTAGTAGCCGTGCTGTGGTCACAGGTTGCCGGGCGTGATGTGGCAGTATCTGAAGAATATTTGAATTTGTTCTCCGTATCGCTGGTCATCATGATTTCTTTGCTGTCAGGGAAGTTCACTACAAATATTTCACCAATCCAACGAGCTCTACAGACGTAAGACAATAATACTCACCAAATCCTTTGGGACCGTCTCCGGACACACTATTTGCGACTTCTTCAGGTGATATGCCTCTTGTACGATTTGCATTTTCGCGCACTTGAAATTTAGTGCTGTTTTCATCGTCAGTTGGATAAGTGATGTAGATATACAAACCTTCGTGGGTTTGATTAGACGACGGAAAACTAGCATAGGAAAACATTCGGGGAAATAAATTTAACGCAGCTTCGTCAAAGGAAGTTATGTCCTCCCCTGCAGATCCATAATCATCGCACTCTTCCTCGTCAGATCCGTCAAGGCAATCGTATTTAAGATCACAACGAACAGGCTCAGCTACACACTTTTCGTTTGAACGACAGCGGAATTCATCGCGATAATCACATACAAGACATCTGTCTTCGTCCTCACCAGCAGCGCAATCTTTGATGTTATCACATTGCCACTGATGTGGTATACAGGAGCGATCATAGCAGGTGAATTCATTATCGTAACAATAGCCACGTCTTCTAGTGGGATCCTCACATTTATTTGGATCATTGGAGTCAGGATAGAGACTACAGTCAAAAAGTTCATTGAGTGGATCCCATTCTGAAATGACGATGGAGCATGCCTCCAGAACGGCTGGATTACAAATGAAAAAGTGCAAAATATATAACATACAAAAAATATATACAAAGTATATATGTAAAAAGTTAAAATACTATATGTATATGTGAATATACATATCGCTCATTTACTTCAATAGAGTCATAACTCAAAAAAGCAAAACTCGAGAAAAACGGTTATAAAGTTTTGAAATCACATACATATACTCGCATCACGTCCGTCTCCTTGCCTCTGGGGATGGGGCTATGCCACCACCGGGCACAGCACCATGAACCAAGAGGGGTACAGGGTGTAGGACTGGATTTCACGGTTGCTTATTCGATCTTCGGGTGGCGAACGTGGGCTGCAGTTCACATGCACAGACGCCCGCACCGATGTCCCCAACCCAACCGATTCCTCTTTCCCAGCCCTATCATCCTACCTATATATTCCCGACCACTCTTTTCCTTCCCCCCCTCTTTAAAGCAATTTATGCTAGTGGTGTTGATGTACCCATGCCGATGGATGAATGGTCAGTAAAGCTTAAAGAACTGGCCGCTAACGGTCCCCGATTCCTGGATTAGGTCGGTTGTATAAGTGCCTTACCACGGTATGCCGGCTACACTGAGAAAAAGGATTCGTTTCGACAACTAAAGATATTTAGTTCCCGAATTTTGACAATATTTGGGAACTGCGATGAAGGATTAGGAACTATTACCATGGGTTGGTAATTATAACTAAATATATTAAAGCTTCTAATATTCATCTAGGTTGTACCAAATCGTTAATTTAGTTAAAGGGTTTGGTAAATACTAATAAATATTTTTTTGAAGCATATTTCTACAAATTCCATTCAACTTAACAACTTCCCTGTCCTCATACAATGCATTTGGTTAATTCCCCACGTCCACAGGTTTTTTGCTCTAATATGCTAAAGAACGTCCATATATACCATAACATATAATTTTTATAAATTGTTATATATTGCTTTAAGTTGTTTTTGTTATTTTATATTATGACTCATATGTGACTCATGGACGTAGGACGAAACAGTTTCTTTGCCACGTTCAATGAGTCACATGTGAACACATCGAGCAAAGTTGTTTTTGAGTTACATTTAGGGATATTCCGATACAAGTAAATACGAGTATGTACTCGTTACTTTTGTTTCGATAAAAACTACTCGAATCGTTGTTTCGATACCTACTTGGTATCAATCAATTTGAGCAAGTGCCATATCTTGTCGGCCATATTTTTTCTATTGAAGAAACTTTCCACAGCGTCGTTTTTATGAAAAATAATTGCTTTAAGCAATCACACCGCCAAAATCTAAAGTATGGATATATTTTTACAAAGTTAGTGATAACACAGCAAAGTGCGAAGCAATGCTTTAAAGCCGTAAAGTTTTGTGGGAACCTTTCAAAGGTTGAATTTTGTATCTAAGTAATTGTA